AATATAGTAATAATATCTGATGAATTCTTAAAGAAAAAATAAAAATAATTGCTAGCAAAATTAAAGAAATATTTTATACAGAACTACAAACTATATAAAAAAATAAACAGAATATTAATCATCTATTATTAGTTATAAAGTTAACAGAAATAGAGTTAGTTCTTTATAATAATCATTTTGATATTATCTTTAAATATTTTGAAATTGAAATTACTTATAATCAAATAATAAGAAACTATTATTAATTTCAGATATATAGAGATATAGATGCATATATCAAGATTTATAATATATACTAATAAAAAAAAAGATTATATAAAAATAATAAAATAATACCTATTTAAGTAAATGCATTTTTTGAAAAGATTAGAATTGATCTAGTAGAATCTCTTTTAGTAACTAATAATAGAAATTACTATATCATAGTTACTATTAACTATCTAATCAAATAGACTAAAACAAGATTAATTATTGATACTTTTACAAGTTTAATCATCTCCTTTCTCTATGAAAATATTATAATAAAATATGAATTTCTAAAAGAAATACTTAATAATAGAAAAATTATATTTGTTAATAAAATAATCAAGAAACTATTAGATAAATATTAAATCAAATACAAACTTTCTACTTCTTATTATCCTTAAACTAATAGATTAATTAAGAGATTGAACTGAATTTTATATACTTTACTATTAAAATATATTTAACTTCACAAGAAAGATTAGGATTACTACTTATCTTCAGTTCTATTTATCTATAGAACAATAAAATAAAGTATAATTTTATTTAAATCTTTTCAACTAATATATGATTGACAAGCAATCATACTATTAAATATTAAGTTAAAAGATTTTGATAGTCTTATTTTTGAAGAAGCTCTTATCAAAAGAACATGTGAACTAATTAATAAATTAGAGACTATATAAGAACTAACTCTTAGTAATATCTAAAGATAACTCCTTAACTAGTTGTAGCTTGTGGCAGTTAATCAGAGAATTGTGATAGAGTTGTGATAGTCAATCAGAGAATTGTGACAGAGTTATGACTAGTTATGACTTCTATTATTAGTAATATCCAAGAAAATAAAAAGAATAGTATGATAAGAAACAAAAGTCAACAATTTTTCAGATAAGATAAAAAGTATTGATGAAATGAATAGAAACTCAATACTAATATCATGATAAATTTGGTGAAAAATAGAAAAAATTATTCTATATTCATGAAGCATATAACAAAGAAATATATAAACTTAGAAATGAAGATGAAAAAGTCTTGAAGAATCTATATAATAGTGACTACTTGAAATTATATATTGAGTTCAATAATTTAAAACTAATAATTATCATCAATAATAATTAAAAGATTTATGAAATAAATCTCTTAAAGCTAGAAATTCTGTAACTAATCATCTATTTGTATGATATAGTAAATATGATACAGTATATGATGCAGCTGTAGTAATTACTAGTTATTACTAAATTAGATAAATAAAAAATTTATATTAATTAATCTTATTAATAATTAATTCTATTTTTAATTTATATTATTATTCATATTTAGTCTTATTTTTTTATTAATTTAGTTATATGTATCATATCTAATTTATAATTTTATTAAATTAATAATTTTCTAATTAATTATTATTAATTTTCTTTTATTTCTTACTTTAGCTTTGAATAACTTAATATTTTGCTAATTTCAATTCTTTATTATTATGTATTTAATATTTTTTATGATTATTCTTTTCAAATTTTACTTATTTTTGAGTAAATTAGATGAAATATCATGTTAAAAATGATTTATAATTAGCATAACAAGAAAATATTATATATAAAAAGTCAAAAAGTAACCAAAAAAAATAATTAAATTTGATAGAAAGAATTAGTTACTAAGTTAAGAATAGTTAATTAGTATTTTTCTTTAATAAAACACATATTTTATCACATATTTTATCTTATTTTCTTCTTGCTTTATTGAGAGAACAATTTTATTAGAAGTAAAATATATATAAATTATCTTATTAAGAAGATAATTATATTTTATCAAAAGAAAATCTTATATATATTATCTTATTAAGAAGATAATCAATTATATAATCTCTTAAAGCTATAAAAATAAATAATTACTATAAATACAATCACTATTATTATTTTAAAATATTTATATACGTATAAACTTAAAATAATAATAATATTTAGATCATAATAAAGTATTATTTAAAAAATCTCTAAAATATATAAAAGTAATATATCTTAGTTAGAATTAAGAAGTTAATTAATAAAAAAATTAATAAAATTAATAAAATAAAATTAATAAAATAAATTAATAAATAACTAATAAACTAATGAATTAAATAATAATAAGATAAAATAATAATTTAAACATAAAAATGTTATGAATTAATGATCTTTATTAATAATATCTTATTTATTATTATATATTTCTTATATTATGATTTCAGATCACATTTTAGCTAATCATGCTATAAATATACTCTTGTTACCTATTTTTAATCTTGTTATAATCATAATCTAATATCTATTATATTATATCTTTGATTATATTAGTCACTCCTATTCATAATTAATAATATTTTTATTATATATTATCCTGACAAAATATTATATATAAAGTTATTAACCTATCACAAAATAATTTTTTCAAAAAATATCAAAAATAGTAATAATATATAAGTTAATAATAATATATTAATAAAATATAAGTTAATAATAATATATTAATAAAATATTCTAATTAAATAAAGATTATAAACTAATCTAATTATGAAATAATATTCAAACTAGTTAAATTAATAATAAAATAAATAAAAACTATAAGTTTTATTTTATTATTAACTAAGAAATTATAATTTATAATAAAAATAGATTTATTAATTATCTATATAATTTTAAATATATAATTAATTATCAGAATATCTAAGCTAATTTTTATTTTATTATTCTATTTATGAAAATTTTAATAAAAATCTAGATAGTTTTAATAAAGATTAAGTAATAATATTTATTAATATAAGTTTTTATTTCTATAAAAATAAGATTAATCTTAATTAGATAATAATAATAATATATAGTAAAAGTATATAAATAATGAGATTCAAGATATTAATATATATTAATAAGTTAGATAAATATTATATTTTTCTTTTATTTTTTATTATATAAATTATATCTTTAATATAAAATTATATATCTATATAAGAATAAAATATAAATTTCATATTTATTTCTTATAATTTACTAGAACAAAAATTTATTAGTATTATGTAAATATTTGAATAATATTTTTGAGCTAGTCCAGAGATCAATCTTAAATTCATATAATATATATATTAATTTTCATGCAAATTTAATTAGCCATTACTGCGGCAATTTGTTATCTGACATTTTTATACCACATGTTATCACTTTTTCTTTATCATCCACAGCAAGCAAACAACCCATTTTCAGCCATTTTTATTTCTTTTCTTTAATTGGTCAAAATGCGCACACAGATCCGTATCGTAATATATCACATTTTACTGATATTTGCATAAATACAATAAATACATAACCAATAAATCACTAGCACTATGTGATATCAGTAAGAATGACAAACGTGATATAGATAATCTTTAAGAGTAATAATCTTATAAACGGTCAACATTTCCCAAATCACGACAAGCCTGCTGCACACGTTTGGTCATACTCTTTTCAGCTTCACGAATAAACACACGAGGATCGTAATACTTTTTGTTTGGTTTATCTGGACCTTCAGGATTTCCAACCTGCGTTTGAAGATAACCTTTTTTAGATTCATAGAAATTCCTTATACCTTCCCAGTAAGCCCATTGCGTATCGGTATCAATATTCATTTTCACAACGCCATAACTGACAGCATCATTAATTTCCGTGGACAATGAACCGGAACCACCATGAAATACTAACCACACAGGTTTATCAGTTTTTGCCTTGGTCTTCTCTTTGATATACTCTTGATGTTTTTTTAGAAGAATCGGCGAGAGTTTCACGTTTCCTGGTTTATAAACCCCATGTACATTACCAAATGCAGCAGCGATAGTGAATAAATCGCTAATCTCACTCAGATTACGATAAACATCCCATACATCTTCGGGTAGTGTGTAGAGTGAAGCATTATCCAATCCTGTATTATCAACACCATCTTCCTCACCACCAGTAAGACCAATTTCCATTTCAAGCAATAGATTAACTTTCTTCATACGTTCCAGGTATTTCTTACAGATGGCGATGTTTTCGTCTTTTGATTCTTCTGAAAGATCAAGCATATGAGAACTAAATAAAGGTTCCCCATGCTTCGCAAAGTATTCTTCATCCGCCTCCAACATTCCCTCGAACCATGGTAAAAGTTTCTTGGCACAATGATCAGAATGCAAGACTACAGGCTTTATTCATTAATCGATAGTTAATAAATAGTTAATGAATATACCATGATAAAAAAGAATAAATACATACATTCCATACTCTTTAGCAACACGACGAACATGATAAGCAGCTGAGCAATAGAAACACGCTGTCCTTCGTTACTCAAACCTTTACCAGCATAAAATTGAGAGCCACCTTGCGAGAGCTGAATAATGAGCGGTGCCTTAATATCCCGCGCTGCTTCCAGCGCAGCGTTAATAGTGGACGAGGAACTAACGTTCACCGCAGGGATGGCAAAATTATTTTCATGTGCGTATTGAAACAATTTACGAACATTGTCACCGGTAATAACGTCAGTTGGAACAATTTCAAGTAAACCCATTATATTCGATAAAATTGAATTTTTTTTTACGTCATCTATATGTACGACGAACATCACGTTAAATCTAAAACCGCTTTCTATGTACTTCTGTCTCTTTAAATAGACCAGCGCATTGTTTATATCCTATCTGTTATATAAAACATTTAATCCAGTCGCATAAGCTTTTTAGGCTTTTTACAAGAAAGGAAACTCATAAAAATCAATTTACACACATTATGGACGTTAATAATGTTTCTTCGTTATATGCTGCTACTCAGGGCGTGCCTTTGATTCTAGCACCACAATTTTCATCACTAAAACCGGTATTTTTTCATTTGTTTTTGCGTATTTTGTTTTGATTGATTTATATTAATTGTAATGAAACTTGATTTTTGGATACTGGAATATTTTCAGATTAGTCTTCCGCACGATTTTGATCTGTTCGGCGATTTACCACCAATGGTGCGTAGTAGGCAGACATCATCTTTCGAAAAGCACAAGAATAATCTAACAAAAAACCACTAAATTTAATGAATGCAGCCGCAACCATGTGATTTTGAATTAGAAAGATCCGTGATCAGCCAACTAGAGCGAGAACGACAAGCGGCCACACTAAAGCTCGCAACACGCGCTGAAAAGATTCGCACGCTACATGAGGAACGCATTCGAAAACAAAAAGCAGAGGCACGGAAAATCGCCCCGGGGTTTTTGGATACAGATCGTAGAATCTTAACTCCAGAACCGGTTGCTAATTCGCAAAATCAACGTTCTGCTTTACTTTTTAAAAACAATAGTATTAGTAGTAACAGTAGCAGTAGCAGCAGTAGTAGCAATATTAATAATAATTATACTACCAGTACTACTATTGCGCATGGACGTTCGGCTTCGGATGAGTTGCCTAATCATGTGGTGGAACACTTGAAATTAAAAACAGAAGAGGTATAATTGTTTTTTTGTAATCATATTTTCATGTTATCTTATCAATTGTTTATGTTTTTAAGGAGAAATTATCAGCAGTTGCAACAAATACAACAAATCCTTGGGATCTTTCAAGCACAATAGAAGATGATTTAAATGAAACTATGGGTGCTCCGTTTAATGTAGTAGAAAATCTTAATCCAACAAATGGATTAAAACAACATCATGTTCAAACTCATCATAACATTCATCAACAAATCATCCAACACACAGTAACATCCCCAATCAATGATCCTATCCTCGAAATACGTCAAAGTCATCAACAACAAGAAGCATCGCAACCTCTACTTCACCAAGGAGGTTATCCGACCACTTCTAATTATAATCCACAGAATACAACAACAACCAATTCTCCGTTTCCAATAACAAGCAATAACGCTCTAAGAACGATGAGCAGCCCATCGAGTCCCAGTTCATCATTACAATTATATTCACCTGCACAGTATCTAACAACGTCTATTACACCCACAACAACAGGAACAGGTTCTTTTTCTCGAGGTCGAAGTGCTTCTTATACAGCCGTAATACCACCAAATAGACCACCCAAAGAAGAACTTCCTAGGTCAAGGTCTACTACACCTTCTCCCAGTCGCATTTCTACTGCCAGTCCAGAGATTAACAAGGATTCGGAAGTTCTTAAGCAGCTTGTAAATATGGGATTCTCGAGAGAACAAGCTATTGATGCTTTGGAAAAATATGATAATGACTTAGTAAAAGCTACCAATTATTTATTGGATAATTGAATTATTTCTATTCTATTTAATATGAGATTGGCTTTTGGTAATTTGTATTATTTTAATCACAAGAAAGAAAAATATTACTACTACTAATAATTATTATTATAAAAAAACTTGTTATTATAATATTTTTATTAATATGTATTTTTGTATTAAAATAAAGATAAAGTTATTTTAATATTTATTTATAATTAAAATATAAATTAAAATTGAATATTCAAAAAAATATATATATTTTAAAAATATATATTTTATTAATAAATTCATTATATTATAATATTTTAATTACTTATTATATTTAACTAGTAAAAGTTATTAAAATATTAATTTAAAATAATAAAAAATAAAAGTATTAATTTAATAAAATTTATTGTTATTTTATTTTTATTTACTTTTATAATTTATTTAATATTTAATTTTCTTAATTGTAATTAAATTTTTATAATCATATTTTTATAATTATATTTTTTCATAATTATTCTTTTTGAATTTAAATAATTATAATTAAAAAAATTTTTATAATTATATTTTTTTATTAATAATTATAAAAATTTAATTATATATAATTATTATTATTCTAGCTTATATTTTTCTTAATTAAATTTCATATTTAATTATTTATTATAAATAATAATATTAATTTTTATAAATTTCTTATTAATATTATTATTTTTCTAAATTAATAATAAAATAATATAATAATAATTATAAATATTACTTTTATATATATATACTTGATAGATAAAAGTTTAAAATTAATAATGATTTATATATATAAAATATAATAAAAATTAAAATAATTTCTTTATATTATTATTATTTTAAGCTTGTATATATTATTATCATTTTAAGATTATACATATATAATTATTTTAAAATAGTAATAGTGATTGTGTTCATGGCAATTATTAACTTTTTATAACTTCAAGAGATTATATGACTGATTTTCCTTTTAATAAGATAATATATGCAAGATTTACTTTTAACAAAATATGATTATCTTTTTAATAAGATAATTTATACATATTTTACTTTATAATAAAATATGATTATTTTCTCAATAAGATAATATATATAAATTTTACTTGTAATAAAATGCTCTCTCTATAGAGCAAGAAGAAAATAAAATAAAATATAAGATAAAATATGTGTATTTTATTAAAGAAAAATACTAATTAACTACTCTTAACTTAGTAGTAATTACTTCTATCAAACTTAATTATTCTTCTTGATCACTTCTTGA